ACACACACACACACACACACACACACACACACACACACACACACACAACACCACCACCACCACCGCCAACAGCAAGGACAACAACAGCAACAAAACAAAGCATAAAAAAACAGCTCATTGTTGAAGCTGTTTTATGTCACAGTGTCTCACAGTATATTCCTTTGTCCACATATCTTCATTTGCAAATGTTCATTGTAATAAGTCATTGGTCTAGGTTTGAGATCTTTGGCTTCTGTCATATCATAAATATTGGATCCTCATGGTGTTTTCTCCTGGTTATCCTGTTGTTGCCCTGTGTCATGGAGATCCTGCACCTTTGGAATAGCAGGACTGAAGCTTTCACACATCCCAACCATGCACAGATGATATAGACTTTGGGGTGGACCAATTCAGAGCCCTGGATCTACTCCTGAGTAGCTGAGCTGGTCAGTCTACCTCCACTCCCTTATCTGTACCACCATTGTGAGCTCTCCAGCACTACTCTGGCAGGATCAACTCTTGTGCTTTCCTGCCCTCAGGGCCAGCTCACCTGTACCCAGGACTCTAGAGCTATTTCCACTGTTTTGTCCAGTCAAGGTGCAGGGACCCCCTCTCCCAAGTGCTTCATCCTGTGAGAAGCTGGGGCAGATCTCAAATTCTTACACCCTCAAAGCTGGCTCATCTGTGTCTTTGCAGTCAGGATCAACTCCACTCTTGTTGCCCCCTCAAGGTGCAGAAACTGCTCCCCCAAGTGCTACAACCATTATCGACGCAGGGCTAGTTCTCCTATCTCATGACCCTGTGGGTAGCTTTCCAGACTGCTGGAGGTGGCAAGGGGTAGCAGTGGGGGAGGGGAAGATAGCATCTCCTCCACCAGACTCATGCCTCCTCCCACCATGGTAGACTAGTGGTGAGGCCAGGTCCCCCACATTCATCCCTTTGGGACCAGCTTACCCACACCCTTGCCTCCAGGGCCAGATCCACTGTGTTTGCCTGAGTGAGGTGCTCTCCCCTGTGCTGATGCTGGTAAGTAATGGGACCAGATCTCCAGAGCACTGCATCCAGTGAGGGGCAGGGCCACTTACGCAAAGTTCCTGAACATCTCTGTGGTTCCTGGTAGCTGTCCTATCCAGGTCCAGGGATATTCTCATGTTCTCTAGTGGTAATATGAGCCACAGATATAGACACTGACTCCTCCTGCTGCCTAGCCACAGACTCAGACATGACCCTCAGTGGCATCTTGGGCTGGGACCTCACCATGGACCCAGATGGCAGGGCTAGTCATTCAAAACAGGCTATTCTTTTCTACCCTCGAGTCTCCAGATCAATCTCTTTCATAATGCTCAAGCTGCTCCACATCTCTTTCTCTTCTGTCTGACCACCACATACTAGTATATTGTGGTGACTCCCACTGCAAGCTGGCCATGCATCCATGCTGTGTTGCATGGCAGCAAGTGGGTGTCAATGACTGTGGGTGGCATGGCAGTCTGCAGCTCACTGTCTTCCCCTACCTATGCTGTACTGCCAGGATTAGATTTTATTTTTATGAGTCCTAGGAACAGGACATCTTTAGCCATCAAGCCACGCATACAGCTAGGACGAAAAAAGGAGTGTATCTACTCTGCCCCTGACTGATGTAAAAACAACATCAATGACAAGGTGTCTATTTGCCCATTGCTGGGGGGAGGAATTTTCTTTCTGATAGATAATGTTTAATTGATTTGTCAGTGATTAACCATGCACTAAAGACAATTTGTATAAAAATTTTCAGTAGTAATTTGATTTTTTTTTTATTATTGAAGTTAAGAAGTAAGTAAAAACATCACTGTACCAGCTCCCTACACCCACTATTAAGGTTTATAATAATTCTAAATTAGTAAAATATGAACATTACAAAGCAAATAAGCTAAATTTCTAGCCAAGTATAAGTTCTTGTGGTTGTTTTTGTAGGAGGTATGTGTGATTCACGCTTTAATATGTTTAGTTTTAATAGTAAAATATTTTAGAATTTTTCAATTACATGGTCTCTGTCAAAACTCTAAAATTTTAGCACATCGGTGATATACGAATGAATGTGTGTGGCTTGTTCCATTAAAACTTTACTTACATTAACAGGAGATGGGCTGGATTTGTTCTGTGGGTTATGGTTTGCTGACCGCTGGCTTGGACGATAAATGGCTGTGTATTTGTTGAACCAATTTAACAAGAGATACACAGAAAGGAGCAGGTTCATTTTAATGTTTCCCATGTCTTAGGTGCCTATTGTGTAGAAAACAAGAAGCACTTCAATCAGGTAATGGAGGGCACTTGTTATTTCTCTCCCTTGCTAAGGCATTTTGAGATATATCTACCAAATGAGATGTGCCAGTTCCAGATTCAGCCTTACTAGAATAAAAAAAAATATGTTAGTTATATTTTTTTCTTTATACAGTCTGTTTTCTCTATCATATCAGAGTAAGGACAATCTCTACTGAAAACACATTTTAGACATTCTTTGTAAGTAGGCAAATATCTAGTTGACATATATTACCATATTTAATGACGAATGAAGCCATAGTCTGTAGCTCATGATGAACTTGAAACATTCTCTCTAATAGTTCCATGAGCTGTATCTAAGAAATCCATTTTCTTACAGTTATTGCTGTAAGTAATGAAGTCTAAGCAGGTGTTTATATAACTCAATGGAAATGTCAAAGGAAGTTTTAATTTTTAGTGACCTTTGAATTATGGAGATCAACACATAACACATTGTCACTTCAAATACAGTATCTACTTTTATACTAGCTAAGTAATTAGAAACTGATTTTCTTTTTGTGTGTTTATGTGAATAGCAGAGATTAACATCAAGTATCTTCCTTTATTGCTCTCCACCTTTATTCGGGGAGGCAGAGGCCTCTGACCAAATTGGAATTCACGAAATAAGCTATGCTGGCTGGCCAGTAACTCTCCTGTCTTGTTTCCCCAGAGCTGAGAGTACAAGTCTGCACCAGGTCCTCTACATATATAATATAGCTTTTAGTTATTACTTTTATGGAACTCCTGAATGTGTAAATGAATGGGTTTCTGATTCTTGTGACTTTTCTTGGAGCTCTTTTATTTTTCTATTGACTTGTCTTGTCCAACCTCAGTATGATGGTTTTCATTGTATTTATGTTTTTTTGTTATCTTTTAGAAGCATGTTCTTTTCTAATGAGAGACAGAAACAGAGAAGATCCATATTGGAGAGATATGAGGAGAAACTGGCAGGAGTAGGGGGGGGGGACTGCATTCAGATTATATTGTATGAGAAAACCATCTACTGTTAATAAAGGGAAAACAGTAAAAAGCAATATTTTTATTAGAAAATCAAGGCAATTAAGAAAGCACATCCTTCATGTTGGATAATGGTTGCATTTTCATCCATTCAAAAATATTCTATTGTCTCTGTGTTTGTACATGTGAGTGTAAAAAATTCTCTTTGTCATTAAAAAAGGATATGGCTTTGAAGCAACTAGCCTGAGAAATTAAGGGAAAACAAAACGAAACAAAACACAGAAGCATTAGATGTATCTCCTTCAAATGATACGCTATTTAGTAGCTCATATTTACCTCACATGGCATTCATGGCCATTAGGATATTCATACACAGTTTCATATGATTCCTAATTGAGGCCTGCTTTTGAAAGGTAAAGGAGGCAAAACAGGCTCTAGCAGTAGGAGGCACTGGAAAGTAGATGCTATGGTTATAGTTCCTGTGGACACTAAAATCAAGGTAGAGAGCATATTTTTGGGAGGTCCACAGTCTCTGCTACCATCTTCAATAAAAGGTTCCCAAGCCTGAAGGATAACAGCAGTGACTCTGTATATAAATGGACAGAGCTTCAGACTTCATTATCTTCATCTCTTACTTGCTATTGACCTCAGCAAGTCACTCAATTCTCGATTTACCAATTTCTTTATAAAGAACATAAAGTGAACTATATCCAACCCCAAATCATATTGGAATACCAAAGAATGTGTTGCAAATGCAAGATTGTAACCCAGTGTCTGGCATGTCATGAAAGCCATATTCATGTCACAGAATCTTATCAGCACCATATTCTTTTCATTCTGCCTTCATATGGTCATGTGTTACAGTCACTTATATGCCCTTTTTCTAAGTTAAATTCACCTGGAAACCTCAAGCACATGCTATCTCCAAGTTCTGTGCTGCCTTCAACCTGGATGTTTGTGTTAGGCAACTCTTGAACTCCCAGGACTAAATAATGTTCTTGAATGAGAACAGAAAGGAAGAAACAATCCACAAACCAGAAATCTTTTCTATAACAGGAAAAGTTGCCTTAGTTGACAAAGTAGCACTGCCAAGCATGAGAATCTGAGTTTGATTCCCTGGAACCTATGTAAAAAGACTGGCATGGAGGCACACTTCTGCAACCTTAGTATTGAGAAAACAGCAACAGAATATTTGTAACTCCAGTGCCAGGTAATCTTACTGAATTGATGAGTTCAGTATTTAATGAGAATCAGTTTTGCAAAATAAGGTGGAAAGAAATAGAGAAAGGCATGTATGCAATCCTGGGTTCTACATCATGCCTAAGTAGTAAAACTCACAGATACTACTCAGTGTGTGGCCCAAGACCACCAGCAGCAGTATCTACATTTTAGTCCTGTTGAACATACAATGAGTCTTTCTTGGCACCAGAAGCACATTAGCATTTTTAAAAGCACAGTTCTAGACTCTTCTAAACTTCCTGGTCAGTAATCTGAAGAGTCATGGAAACAGTTTATCTTCACAAAGAGAACTTGGAAGCAAGATAAACAGGAACTGCCACATGCTCAGTAGACAAGAAAGACTTCCCGACTTCTGAAATCCGCATTTTGAATTCAGTTGAGAGACTTGGGCAGGAAGTGATGATAAAGTCCTATTGAGAATTTATCAAAGAATAGGATTCAGTAGTTTGTAAAACATCTGAAAACAGGTAGATGGGATATAGAAAGCTTACAAATTTTATAGGATGGCAATTACATTTTTTTAAAACATAATTTTATTGACACTTTGGGAATTTCAGACCATGCACTGCAATCCCACTCTATTCCCAGTTCTTCCACATCTGCCCTTCATTCTTGTAACAACCCCCAAAGAAAAGAAAAACAAAGAAAAAAAAGCAACAGCAACAAAATATGCTACATCTGCGCAGGGGTTCTCGGTTATCTCGATGCATGGTCCTTGGTTGGAGCATCAACTTTTCGTGTCTAAGACTGAGGAAATCATTTGCTTCAAAATGTTTATGCTTGAATTGATACACAACTACCCAGTTATTATTTTAAATTATAAAAATAATTTCACCATCAGTATATAATACATTAATAAAAGCAAAACAAATAAAAACGTTATGGTTGGTTTATATTATTATTAGACAATTTACTTTTCATACTTTCTACCTATTTCTAAAATCTGTGTACTTTGTTGTTTTTAAATAACACCTTTAAAAATAAAGCAAAAAAGGCCTTTACATGCAAGTTAGAGAAAACTGTTCAATCCATGTGCTTCGGAGATAGTCGAAAGGTAACACAGAGATTATATAATGGATAAAAGCTTATAATGGAAAAATTAAGCAAATATATACAATATTTGCAAAGCATTATGAAATTTGTGATTTCAATTCAATGTATAAAATATTAGAATACTTTGTTCTATTATATTTCCAAATATCAACATATTTAGCTTCAAAACAGAAACATTAAAGCCAGTGTTAAGAACCATGTGCTCAGGGTGAAAACCCGATTACACTTCAAGCCAAACATATACTTTAAGACAACGTTAAGTGAATTTTTAGAAGACAAATCCATATATGGTAACAAGGCAAATTGAAAGGTTAACAGTAGAGGGATGAGAAGGCAATTTGGGCAAACAGCACAATAAACTTACGGTCCATTATATTGCACTTGGATCTTCTGACAGGTTTGTAAGCAGGAACCAAATGGGCATAGTAAAATTAGAACACATGTCATTTGGTAGCTGGTCATTCTTCGTGGGTTTCAGAATGAAGTATTTATTCTGGGGCTTTGGTTCCTCTGAGCTGTTCCCTGTAAATGAAAAGTACAACATGTGCGTTTTCCATGCTGAGAAATAAACAACACCCTCACCCTCTGTAAATAGTAATCCAATATGCTGAACAAGATTTACAGATGCATCAGTTTAGATAAACAGTAAGAGACCTCATTAATAATTAGTCCCTGTGGCAATCAATACTACATGGAAAAGTTCTGTCACTGCTATACTTTCTTCAAAGCCGAGGCCAGTGTCTGACCACAGGAAGAGGATAATTAAAGTTCGTGAGTAAATGAATCAGAGGGCATTCTGCTGATTTGGAAAGAGGAACTTGCAGTGGCTCCTGATTTAGTTCTTTCTCCAGTGCACAGAATTGCTACAAGTCAGGTCATGTAGCTCAGTCCAGGTCAGTGCAGGAAATCAGGGAAGAGAGGCCAAGGTTTGACCTTATGGCTTTGCCAGCCAACCCTGTATTCTGGCATTGTTTCCTTCATGTGGAGAAGCAGATGTGCCTGCCTGATAGCACAGACCACCTGGAAGACCTCTGGTCTGGAGGAGGTAACATCCTGGTCTCTAATGCTTCCTGGGTGATTCATTAACCAGCCATGGTTATAAGAGTTCACAGTCACTTCCGAACCTCAGCCCCATCAATGTTCTTGTGATACTGAGTTCAAGATCCAGAGAAAGCAAATCTCATGGCAAATTATAAAACACCATAATCTTGGTATGTAACATTTTTGTAAAGTTAAAACAAGCTTATTTCAAGCCTTACTATTCCATTCATTTTAGTTGCACATAAACAAACTAGATGAGTGTGTCATTGTGGTAAAATATCATATATGAATAAAATACAGGTATCAGAGATTTCATTTCCTCCTATCTCACGGCCAAACCTATCTCTTTTTATTCAAATTCTATGTAGTTCTGCTTCCTTTCTGTCAATGAAGAACATATCATCCCACTGCACCTGTGGCTTCAAATTTGTTATTCTGTTCAGTTATCTTATGTTAAGTCTATGCCGTAGCATAAAAAAAAAGAAAAATTTCTGAAACTTGTTCCCTTATACAGCTAAAAAAATCTAATAAGGATGGGTCTTATATTTATCTCTATCTAGTCTTTAGCCTGCTGCCAAGTAGCTTCTATACCATTACTCTTCCAAGTCTCTTTATCTTTAGTTTACAGGATCCTTCACCTCCAGATCCATAAGGTGAGTTCTTACTGCATTTAAACTCTTTGGCCTTTGAAGCCAGCAGTGGCTGACACCCGCTGCTGCTGCCTCTGCTTCTTCTTGTTGTTCTTCTTTATCCTCTTCTTGTTCCTCTTGTTCTTGTTCTTCTTCCTCTTCCTCATTATTGTTATTATTATTAATCTTTTAAAATTATATATTTTTATGAGCATTGGTGTTTTGCCTGCATATTTTATGTCTTTGTGTGTAAGGGTATCCAATCCCCTGGAACTAGAGTTACAGGCAGTTATGAACTGCCATGTGGGTGCTAGGAATTGAACCCAGTCCTTTGTAAGAGCAGCAACTGTTCTTAACAACTGAGCCATCTCTCTAGCCTACAACTGCTTCTTCATCATGAATGCTATCACTTGTCACTGTAGATGCCTGAAATAGAATCATTGTAAAATTACAAAAGAAAGAATGTAAGAGAAGAATCACATTTTAGCCACTGTGAAAACTGAAATGTCGCTGCATACAGTATTCCAAGGCACCAATCACTGCAAAATAGAACTCTCTTCCAATGCTAAACACTTATCTAGCTATATACTTAACTTTGAAAACTCTCTCCCTTCTTACTTCATTATAGTCTACTTCCCTGCCCCCTTTCTTTTGTGGTTTGCTTTGTTCAGTTGTATTATGTTTTTTGTCTTGGTTTCTGCTTTACAGTTCTCTTTATAGTACCCTTTATTCTGTAGCTTAGAAGACAGCTATAAGTTCTCATTTTGTCTTTAGTATTTTTGAAATTAGGAGTCTTATGTATACATCTTAATGAAGTGCTGAATGAACATTTCAGCCACGTACTTTGACTTTTTCTTTGTGTACTTAGTGGTTGCTAGTAACACAACCACTGCCAATTATTAAGTAAAATGTTATAACACTGACCATTACTAATTTCCATTGTCTTTAATCTTGATATACCCCTGTAGAAAATATTTTGTGAGGAATTGAATGCTTGTGGACTTTCCTGAGTTTCTGTGTGGAATACTGTCCCTGAATGTGATGAGATTTTAGATGGGGCCTTCAACAGGTAAAGGTTTAGATGAGGTAAGTTGAGTGGGACCCTGATGAGCTGAGTGTTGTTAGAATAAAGCAGGGTTTATTCTGCCATGTGAAGACACAGAGAAAAGTCAGCCATCTGAAAATCAGAAAGTGTCTTCACTAGAATTTAACTGATACCCTGATCACAGGCTTCCAGATTACAGAACTGTGAGAAATAAATGTCTGCTATTTAAGCCAAGCCAACCACTCAATGCTATTTGTCATGGTAACCTAAGAGGACAAAGGCAAAGAGAATCCCTACTTCTTTTTTATATTTCTACTTTTCCAATATTGTATTTTTAATTATGTGTAAGTGTATGGATCAGTTTGTGAATATGTGTTAAAGAATGAATGTGCCCACAGAGGTCAGAGGCATCAGATCCTTTGGAGCTGGCATTACAGGTGGTTTTGAGTGATGCAGTATGGGTGCTTGGAACCAAATATGAGTCTTCTACAACAGCAATAGGTGTTTTTAACTACTGAGTTATCTATCTTTCTGACTCTAATATATAAAGAAGCTTATTTTTCAGAGTGATTGCTTGCTTTATATCACAGTCCCAGTGGATGTCAAAACCAGGCATCAAAACTATTGCTATGCTATTATTTATCTTGAATAACTAATGAACAAATGCAGTGTGGGTTTCTGCATTCAATGTAAATGAACAGTTGTTTTCTAGTGATTATGAATACAATATACTCAATGAATTTTGTAATTATTTTTCTATTTTTATTTTGATCTAGATGATAAAAGTACCTCACTGTAGTAATCCCTATTGCTTAATATTCTAAAGGCAGTCAATGAGATAGCTTTTGTGTAGAGTGAATAAAATAACAATTAGGTGTTGGTGAGATGGTTCCATGGGTAAAAATGCTTGATGGACAAGCCTGAAAAATAAAAATTTGATCCCTGAAGAGGGACTGCCTCTGACATAATCTGATTGGCCTGCTCATTGATCACTTCCCCCTGAGGGGGGAGCAGCCTTACCAGGCCACAGAAGAGGACAATGTAGGCACTTTTGATGAGAACTGATAGACTAAGATCACAAAGGAGAGGAGAACCTCCCCTATCAGTGGACTTGGGGAGGGGCATGCATGCAGAAAGGGGAGGGAGGGTGGGATCGGGAGGGGAGGAGGGAGAGGCTTATGGGGGATACAAAATGAAATAAGTGTAATTAATAAAAAATTAAAAAAAATGTTGATCCCTGGAATCCATGGTGGAAGAAGATAACTGATGTTCAAAGCTGTCCTGTTACCTTCAAGACTGTCCTGCAGACAGCATGCACCCTGCACTTCGACACACACACATGTGAATAAAATAATAAAATTAAAATACTGGTTGGTCTTTCAGGATTCTAAAACCTTTAACTTGTGGCAGTATATAACAAGGAGGAAAATTTACTGTCTTTAATTTTGGAAGGTTGATTAGAGGGGTCAAATGCATTAGAAGTATTCAGCTGCAAGTAAGAGAACATTCCTACCTCTTAGGAGAGTAAGCATCTTCGAAATTGTAATGTTACATAAGCCAAAGTCCAGCATGTAAGAATATTCGTATATAGGCTGTCAGGATGACAGGTTTCCTTTTTACATGATCCATCCTACTGTGCGTGTTGTTCAATCTACTCTCAGGCTGATGCAATGAGGAACTGTGTTAGTTTCAGATAACTACACTGAGATGTGACAGTGAAAACAGAAAGATATGCTGATCATTTCTTCCTTTTTTATTTGATATTTTGAGCTAATGAATCTTTTATTATCATTTATTACAATTTATTCAATTTATATCCTTGCTGAGGTCCCCTTCCTCATCCCCTTTCAATACCATCCTCCCTCCCTCTTCTTCCCCTATGCCCCTCCTCTAGTCCACTGATAGGGGAGGTCCTCCTCCCCTTCCATCTGACCCTAGCCTATCAGGTCTCATCAGAACTGGTTGCATTGTCTTCATATGTAGCCTGGCAAGGCTGCATCCTCCAGGGGGAAGTGATCAGGGAGCTTGTCACTGAGTTCATGCCAGAGGAAACCCCTGCTCCCCTTACTAATGACCCCACTTGCATACTGAGTCTATGGGTTACATCTGGGTTTTAGAGAGAACTAGGTAAGTTTCCCCTTTCTTCTTTGGCAGCAGCTGGCTAATGGAATAACAGTAACTACTGCTTGTCTTCTCTTCTCCCTGCCCACTTTTTTACTGCCTTCCACATAGCTTGAGAGTAAATATCCATCAGTGAGTGATTCCTGCTGCCTTTAGTACAGATAAGTCTGTCTTGACTTAGCTTCCATCTCTAAGTTTTATTTGGCTGTGGGTAATGGTGTGAGAAATGTTGCTTGTCTGAGCTAAAAATTGAAATATCATAATTTGTCACAACAGGGTCCAATTATAAACAAGCTATAAGGCAGCATGCATGTGGGTTTTCTTGTAAACATCATGTAGGAGCTGACCCTAGAAGTTTCACTTCCCTTAACATACTGTGACTCCTTTAGAAGACAGAGTTCAGTCCTTTGATTTTAAAGTGCTTTGGTTTAAGCACTTTGATTGGCCTTATTATTGGAGAACTGAGTAGCCATCTCGAATAAGCAAACAATGGGTCACAGAGATGTCTCATCAATTAGTAGGACATACCAGAGGCTCTTCCAGAGCATATGTGTTTATCTACCAGCATCCATATAAAGTAGTTAAAAACTGCCTGTACCTCAAGCTCCAGAGGTTTCACGAGCCTCTTCTGACCTCCATGGACCCTGCACTTCCATGCATAAACGAAAGACATACAAGTAAATACACATGTCTTTAAAATATTTTTTAATCAAAATGACAGGAATTGAAAATTCTCAAATTTT